GAAAGGTGAGAGCCCGGAGCCCGAGGAGGGGGCGGGCAGGCCACGACCATGTCCTCGGCCGTGGGGCCCCGCGGTGCTCGCCCACCCACCGTGCCTCCCCCCATGCAAGAGCTGCCCGACCTGAGCCACCTGACCGAGGAGGAGAGGAACATTATCATGGCAGTGATGGACCGGCAGAAGGAAGAGGAGGAAAAAGAAGAAGCCATGCTCAAGTAAGCCACCCCCAGCCGCGCCACCCGAGCCTCCGTGCCTCCCTCGGTCCATTCACCACTCGCTCACCCAACCCTCTGGGCTGGGTGTGGGGGAGGGGGCTGGGCGAGGGTGCGGGGTGTGGGCGGAGGCGCCCTCCTTGGGGCCAGGGGCCCTGGGCTTGAGCGCGGAAGAGGTTAGCGGGACCGGAGGAAGGAGAGGATGTCACCCAGCCGAGAGCCCAGGAGCCAGGAGAGGGTGGCTGGAGACTGGGGTGCAGAGGAGGGTGGGGTGGACCGCGACCACCCTGGGGCTGGGATGTGGGGAAGCTGAGAAGAGCTGATCCCACCCTAGTGGAAGGGCCCTGGGTTGGGAGCAGGTTAGGGGGCAGGGGGTGAGTGGAAGGAAGGGGCGTGGGAAGAAGAGGTGCTGAGAATAGCTCCTCTGCTCTTCTTGGAGTTGTTTAGCAGGCTGGGGTTACCCCACTGAAGGGTGTCAGTATTTACATACGAAAAATGCATATTTTTAGTGTTCATTTTGGGACTCATTCAAATCACAGAACAAGGTTGGGTCTTTATTGGGGGGCAGTTGCCATCTTCGGGTACCTGCCTCCCTAGACTCCCTTTAACCTTTTATGCACAGTCTTTTACACAAAATACCTGTGTGCAGTCACATTTTCTTACATCTATGTAATGCCACTGAGAATGCAAAGTTTGTAGTAGTGGGAGAAGCTGATGGGGAGTCTGGTGTGAATAAAATAGAGGTTCCTCTTTACTGGTTTCCAAGAGACCTCAGGGGCCTGCTCAGCTCCTGGTGCAAGCAGTACAATAGGGGATTGGGAATTTGCATACGTCTCCCCTTCTTTAAAGTCCATCAGCCCTTCAAGGGATCCCTGTCCAGTGTACTGTGTCTGGGGAAGGGACAGGCCCATAGCTGGTGGTGTAGGAGTGTGTGACACTGCTGCTTACAAGGTCCTGGCACCCAGAGTCGGTTTTGCTGCTCCTTAGCACCATACCTAGAGTGGAGCTGAAGGGGACTTCAACTGCCTTCCCTTGGCAGATCTTCATATATTCAGGAAAGTTTTCAACTCAGGGGTGCGGGGATTTAGAAACCCCACCTGGGACTCATTGCTTGGTGTTTCCCTGGTTGGGTCAGTAGTGTATCTGGGGGCACAGGATTGGCACGAGGAGCCAAAGGGAACCTGTTGCATCTCGAGTTAGCTGACAGCAAAGAAGGGGCAGACACAGAAGGGAAGAGGGGTGAGAGCCAGGCATGGAGCACACCCAACATGGCTCTCTCCACCCCCTAGGATTGCCTCCTGAAGAGAAGAGGCTGCCACCAAAGGTTTCTTCCGCTTCCCCTCAGTGCAGCAGTGCCTCACAGGACAGGGATGGAGGGAGGCTGTGTTCATAGGCGGATGGGCCCCCGCCAGTGTAACTGCTACCCAGATGGGAGAGGGAATATTGAGGGAGAGCTGTGGGTGCCGTGTCACAGCAAAAGTGTAGAAATCCAGTCATTCCTGCCCTTTCCATTGTAGACTCAGAAAAGGGCCATTAACTTGGAAGGCCAGAGCTGGCCTGCTTCGATCAAGAGCAGCAGGTTTCTGAATTCCCTGCTCCTTCTCATCCAAAAACTAAACCCCAAATACTTTAAGCCTGCTGCTTCGAGGAAGGCACAATCCTCGTTAACCTGCTGCCTGTCCCTGCCAGGAACAATGATGTCCCTGGTGCTGCAGGCTTCCCCTCTCCTGAGACTGGAAGTAGTGGATGGTGTCTGATGGTGCTGTCTGTCTGTCTGGTTGTCAGTCCGTCTGTCCTCACTGGTTGCAGCCCCTGCCACTTGTTCTGGGCACCTTCTCTGCTGGTCAGGATTTACAGGTTTGCTACTGTTCCCTTTGGTGTTTGCTGCAAACAGCAGGTGGATGGAGGCCTCCAGCAGCCAGCGAAAACCATGGGCTCCTGCTGGGCAGGGTCCGGATAGGAAGGGGAAGGCACAGTGCAAGTAGTGGCCATCATGCTCCGTCATTGGCTGTTTCAGGGATGGCGGAGACTGAGGGATGTTAAGTGAGAGTGGGTGAGTTTTTAGGACAGAATCTCAGACCTGCTAACTGCCTGTGATAAGATTGTATGGGCTTATATAGACGAATACAAATGAGGAGCACCATCCAACTCTTCGTGTCTAAAACATCTTTCCCGCTGCTGCTCCTGTGGCTGCTGTCCACTGGTTTGCAAATATGGTTCCTTTATAGCAAGGATTCACAATATTGCAGTATGTGATGCTGTTACACAACAGTTCCCTATAATCCAGGACCTCTGCATTAACTTTATCAATCAGCCTCCACTGCTAACACCTCGGCCTTTTGTGCAGTGGCACATCGGTGAGTGTTTTGGAATACCAGTTTGCTGCCATGTAAGTGTGTCAAATTGACTGCAATTAATGGAACAGTGTTGTACATTTTTCTAGAGTGCACTTTATGCCATAAAAACGGGGGATCATAGGGGCTATTCAGATGACCCATAGGTATATATAGGAGTTAATAACACAGTCAAAGGTGTTGGCCTCTTCTAAACTTTGCATAACAATAGATTGGAAGACAGGATGTTTTCCACGGGGCTTTGAAACATTTGTTAAATCAGAGATAAGCTTTTATGGTAATGCTGGGTCCCTCATATCACATATTGAGAAATTCACAACAGATCATATAAAGCTCAAGTTCTGGAAACAGAGTGATTAGAATTAAAATTCACTGTTGTCCCCACTGCAGAGCCATCACTTTGAGCTACCTACTGTGAATACTCTGTCCCTTCACAATGTATAAAAACAGACATTAATACATAGAAGATAGAAAAGTGATGGGGAAATATGCCAAAGAAACTTTACAAAGTATCAATTAAAATATAGTTGTATAGTTTAATCAGCCTTGACTGTTAATTGCTATGTGAATTTGGTCTTGATAATGCCTTTAAATATATATCAGTGGAAGATAATACTCAAGCTACTTTCACCTCAAGATTTCAGGAAAATTTTTCTTTGAAATTGTAAGTACTTTATTATAAAAAATAATTCATTTTGTCTGCAGAGAGCACTGATTTTAAATACCATTGGTATATTACAAGAAATAGTTGACTCCTGCAAATAAATTTTACTGGTTGATTTAATTATCTGAAAATAAAAGGTTTTTCTTAACCTTAATAGAGTTTTTGGTGTGGGTGTGTGCGTTCTGGAGACTTTTTGAAACCGAACTTCCTCAATGAATACTCCTTTAAGTAACTGTCCCCAGACACCATGAGCCAATATATTACCTGGGTGGAAAACTGCATTATCTGGGACCTAAATCAGAGAAGATCTCTTGAAGATCTAAAATCTTATTCCCTTTTTATAAATACTTCATAGAGAAAGGAGCTACAGAATAGTAGAGAAGAGGAAAAAAAGAAATAGAGTTAAAGGGATGGTTTGAAAATGGAGACTGAGAGCCATATTGGAATATTAAATAAAACTAACATTTATTGAGCATTTACCTCATGTTGGCCATTATCCTAAGTGGTTATTGACTCACATGCCAAATAGTTGAACTATGCTCAAGTTTAATATATGTATATTTGAATTCTCACAACTGCCTGCACAGAAGGTAAGTTAGGTCACACGATCCTTGATTCTTCATTTTACACTCAGGGTTCCAGTAATATACTCAGCTGACTCACATGATGGCCCAGTCAGGATTCAAATCCAGATCTTTTTTAAAAAATAACTTTTTTGTATTACAATTGACATACAATACAGACCTTTTTTTCCAAATCCAAGTATGTTCGCATACACTACACTGTCCTACCAGAAAGAGGCTTGTATTTCATCCACCTTTCTTCTCTTTCCTTAGTTTCAGAGCTGTGGTTTGGCAAAAGGTAGGCTGATTCAGAGGTTCAGCTGCTGATTCTAGGAGGGCCTGCAGCTTCACCCACACTCTCTTTAATAGTTTTCCTGTGGATTGAGGTTAGGGGGATTGTCTCCAGTTCAAAGATAATAAAAAGCTTCGTGCTATGGTAGAAAGACCATTAACTTTGGATCCAAGCATTTTGGGGTTCTAGATCTAGTCCTACCACTTACTGTGTAAATGTAGGCAAGAAAATTAAACTAGGATTCCATGAGTTTCTATTCTTCTTATGAATCCTGAAGTTTGTGGTGTGAATTGATTTATAAAGAATATTGACTTTGGACTTCTCCCTCTCTTTTTAACAGGGAACTACACAGTAACTTTTCAAACATCCTTAATATCCACTTCCTTTGTGAGAGGAGAAAGAAAGTAGAAGGAGCAGAACTCTTTCTCCATTTTTGTCCCTCCAAGCAATTATACTCGTGTGGCTTGACATGTATCCATAAGGCTCCATGTGACAGACCCCAATTAGCAACTGGGAAGAGAAGGAAAAGTTGACGAGGGCAGCTGGGGAGGGTAAGGATAGACTTTCCATGTATGCAGGCATCCTGGTTTCCTCGGGGTTTGCAAAGATTTTTATATTGTGCACCCCAAAATATTCTGTCACAATGCTGCGTCAGGATGGCTACGAGAGAGAAGAAAAACAGTAATAGTAATGAGAGAAAGTGACTAAACCCTGAGAAGGGGCTGCCTGTTCTGAGGGGATTCTGTGTTAGTAGGAAACCACAAGAGGGGGAGAACTTACAACCTTTCACTCAGAGTCTAGTCTCCTTCACACCATTGATGGATAGGGTTAAATTTAGGGAAGGTTAACTATGAAATCTTCTGGAGTTTTCCATTTTCAACGAATACCTCTCTTAGTAAATGTGCATGCTCAGTAATGAGTTCTCAAATACTCCTGGAGAAAATGTAGAAAAGGGAAGCTTAAACAATGAAAGAGGTGAGGAGTTAAAGGGAATGGAGGGTAAGAGACATAACCATTAGTTCGCATTTTTGCCAACCTGTCTTGACTTTGTTTCAACTGTGTTCCTTCTTAACCAAAATGAGGGGGCACCATTGTTTAAGTAAATAGGTTACTAAATTAGAAGTAGAATA